TTCTATCGCATATTTCTCTAAATAGTGGAAAGGCATCTAAACCATCATCATTAGAGGCATTGGATACGATTTTGGCGTTCAATTGAGTTAGATATTTGAGACAATGGATTAATCGAAACAGTTTTTCGTTTGATAGCATATGGGATCGACATTTCATTTGTAAATAGCGTTGAAGTAAATGGATATAAATATTCTGTTGGTGTCTATAATAGAGAAAATATTAGCAAAATATTTGAAAAATTAAGTTACATTCATTTTGATAATGCCTTACTTGACAACGTGTTTGTGTATTAGTTTGGGTCGATTCGGATTAAACAATGAAATTGCAGTCAACTATTTGAATAAACATTATTATTAGCGAAGTAATTATTGAGTGAAAAACTGGTCTAATATTATAATTACTAAATCAATGATAAGAGGGTCTGAGTCCCAATCGAGACCAATATTTTCAAGAAACGATTTGTGAAAATCATAGGTACGGCACCCTTTGGGGGCAGACGAATGGGTTTTGAATAAATCCAATTGTATTCTATTAAGTCTATTATTCTGTGATAAATACCATGTTTAATATTAAATTCAATAGTTGCATAATTTACGCAGATTCAACATAATATTAAAATAAAATCTCTAAAAATTTTAACGCTTACATAATAAATTTCCCAATAGCCATGCTCAAAGTTAAAGCATGATACCATACGTAAATGAATGATTTCAAATGATGAATATTTAATGAGAGTCAAGCGATCACTTTCTATTAGATCATTAAAACCAATCAAACATTTGGACATTTTGATGACATCTTTAATTTGGTTATTATGTGTATTAACAAATATATTCAATGTCTCCAAAAATGTGGCGTTAATTGGATCACCACTTCTCTGGACTTTAATATTCAAAGTAGTGATTCCGTCCATCAGTTCACTCAACCACTTGCCCTCTATTTCATTGAAAGTATTGCTATAATCGGTAATTGGCCTTAAAATAAGCCCAACACTCAGCACCGGCTCATCTGTTTTAATAGCATAAGTCACTTCATTAATATCATTATAATCTTCAAAGACATCAAATGAAATGCTTGTCTCAGCACTAGTTGTCTGTTCCGGTGATGAACTCCTAATTGACTCAATGGTCTCGCATTTATCACCGGATTTTCGTTTGCGATTGTTTTTGATGTTATTTTTGTTATCATTTATTTTACTGATATTTTTCCGTTTATCCGAATAAGAGTGAATCAAATCCTAAAAACATGTTTTAAATGCTTTAATTAAATGCCATTTGTTTGTGTTATATAATACTAGTAAACAGTTTTCATACGGCATTCATTCCAACGGCAAAACACTTATCCAAACGACACTTTTTGCAATGCTTTCTACTATTCACATCAATATGACACTCACCGCCTAAATAACATCTAAAATTATCCTGAACAAATATAAATATAAAATAATTTAGGTATTAGCCTAATATTGAAAATTCCTTTGAGTAAATGATGATTTATTTGTTAATAAACATATTTACGGTAATGAAAGCGCTTCTCCGAAAAAACGATTTACAAGATTCACAAGTAATGGCATCAAAATGATAGCCTATTATAGCATTGGAGTAATTGGGGATAAATAATAAAAATTAGTTTGTAAAATTAAAAAAGTAAAACTTTTACCACTTGACAGATCGCCACATATTTGACACATTCTTGGTTTGCTTTTAAATGCCATTATAACTATTATGTCCAATAAAAATAAATTATGCACTTATCATTAGAAAAATGTAGAAAGATCTAATATTTTGCAAAAATACTCTCGATTCTTGTGCAAACTCAATTATTTATATACACTCATATTTTGACGTGGAAAATGGTTAACACCTATGTATTACGCAATACAACCCATTAGTTTAATACTCAATTAATTCCCTTACGTAAATCATTTTCACATGTTTAATCGCTGATAATACTACCCTGTATATTAATAAATATTGTAGAATAATAATTCTGTTGAAAATATAGTCCGCTTTAATAATTTTAAAACTAATTTTATACTTACAAGTTAGAAAAATAATATATTCATTTGAATTCTTATTAACTTTATTTTGTTAGCCTGACACATGTATAAATATAAATGAAACCATAAATAATTGTACATAATACTTTACAAATGATGTAAACAGAATGAATACTATTACATTATATTACTATTATAATTCTGTGCTTTTAATGAAATTATTATGAAGGTAAAAGAAATAGTAACTATAGATATAAGTAACACACATACTGTGCATGTGACTTTCAACACAAATACTGTACAATATAATTGTAAGCTATTATTAATACATAAAATATTTTTAATAAATAAATCAAATAAAAAATTTAAATGTAAAAATAAAAATTATTCTCGATCTCCAAATTCAATTTTGATTTGTTTAAATGATATAGTTTATTTTGATAGTCTTTAACAAATTATTAATTTCTATCACATATTTCTCTAAATATTATTTGCTAGCTTAATAATTAAATATATGATAATTACGTAAATTATAATAAAGGTATAGGAAATTATGCTTAATTCTTTACAGATCAATAGGAGCAATAATTTCGTTAAACACACATAATTTCATTGTTTTAAAAGTTATTTCTACTTTTATTACAATATTAATTGTCAAGTAAACATGAACCAGACTAATAGAAAGTTTTATCAAATTATTCATTTCTATCGCAAATTTCTCTAAATAGCGGAACGGCTTCTAAATCTCCATTACAGGCATGGGATGCGATTCGGGTGTTCAGTATAGTTAGATATTTGAGACAATGAATTAACCGGAAAAGTCTGGCCTGAGATAACAAATCTGATCGATATTTCATTTGTAAATATCGTTGAAGTAAATGAATGTAAATATTCTGTTGATGTCTATATTAAATGAAATATAAAATTAATCCTGTACACTATTAATAACAATAATATTAAAACACATACTTAACCATTTGTTTGTGTATTAATTTGGGTCGATTAGGATTGAACAGAGTAATTGCTGTCAACTAATTAAATACTAGATATTATTAGCATCAATAAACATAAAACAAAATTCAGTCATAATTACTAAATCAATGATAAGAGGGTCTGAGTCCCAATCGAGACCAATATTTTGTAGAAAACTTTTGTGTAGATCATAAGTACCGCACCCTTTAGGGGCATCTGAATGTGTTTTGAATAAATCCAATCGTATTCTATGCGGTCTATTATTCTGTAATAATCAATGAATTTAATATTAATTTTTGGTGTTACCTATTAAATAATATTGATATATTCTTACATAAATGATATCCCAATAACCCTGTTCAAAATTAAAACACGAAATCATACGTAAATTAATGATTTCAAGCGAAGAATATTTAATGAGAGTCAAGCGATCGCTTTCTAATAGATCATTAAAACCAGTCAAATGTTTGGACATTTTGATGATGTCTTTAATTTGGTTATTATGTGTATTAATGAATACATTCAATGCGTCCCAAAAAGTCACATCAAACGGACCGTCACTTGTTTGGTGAGTGATCTGCAAAGTCTTGATTCCGTCCATCAGTTCACTCAACCTCTTGCCCTCCAACTCATTGAAAGTATTGCTATAATCGGTAATTGGCCTTAAAATAGGCTCAACACTCAGCACAGGCTTATTTGTAATTATATTTATATTGTGTTCATCTGTTGTCACATTATAAGTGACTTCATCACCAAAACCATTATAATCCTCAAAGACATCAAATGAAATGCTTGTCTCAGCACTAGTTATCTGTTTCGGTGATGAACTCCTAATTGACTCAATTGTGTTACAATTTTCTTCCAATTTTCGTAACTTTTTGTTTTTGTTATTTTGTTTATCATCTGATTTGATGCTATTTCTGAGTTTATCTGATGAAATCAATTCCTAAATTATGTCATAAAATTTATTTAACAATTATGTCAATAATAAGTAATGGTTTATACAGATTTCATGCCAACGGCAAAACATTTGTCTATCCGACACTTTTTGCAATGTTTTCTATTTGTGACATCAATTTGACAGTTACCGCCTAAATAGCATCGAAAATTGTCCTAGGTTGATATGATTCAATTGGGATAATATTAATATAAAATATAATATTCAACAAGTTTGATATGATATAACTATATTTACGGGAATGAATGCAGTTCTCCGGAAAAATGATTTACACGACTCGCATGTGATAGCATCGAAATGATAGCCTAAGATTGCACCAGTGTAATTAATGACCATACATTATAAATATGTGTTTAATAAGTTACAACTAAAATATCTTTATAAATTACCACTTGAAATATCACCACATATTTGACAAATTCTGTTATTATTCTTAAAAGCCATCAAATCAATAAATTAAACTTTTATTTATATTAGATTGAACATATAACTTAAAAATATACTGGTTTGTTATGTAATAACTTAATGTAACATGGAAAGGTTTGAACAATTTTAAATTGACAGCCATTACTTAAGTATAACATTGAGATTAGTTGTGTCACTTTCATAAATCATGATCACATGCTTAATTACTGATTATACTATTAGTAATGAAAATTACGTTAAAAATATAATCCAATAAATTATTTCTATAGCACATATTTCATAAGAATAAAACCCATATTATAATTTCTAACTTTATAAATGCACTGCCATATATATAATATAAATATATAAATCCTGTATAATTGTTCATAATACCTTATAAATGCAGTGAAAATGATAAAATTGTCTGCAAATTTATGTTTTATGAGAACGTTATATGATATTAGCGTGTGTTTTATGTGTATTATGATTGTGATAAATAATAATACAATATAGTCTAATAAAGTACTGTAGATAAAAAAAATAGTGCATTGTACATGTGATTTACTACTTAATATAATTAATTTAAAAAAATTAGATTTGTTTTGCACAGATACAAATTATTGTTTTCTAGGAAATAAAAAGTCAATAATTACATAAGACAATTAATGAAATATAGTTGTTTATTTCTTAAAAATACAATGCAATTTATTAATGAATACATTTCAATCTCATACAATCGCATTGTATTTATTACTAGTCATCTATCGCATATCTCCTTGAACAGTGGCACGTTATCCAGGGCCTTTTGTGAGGCGTGAAAGGCAATTTTTGCGCACAGGTAGTTTAAATACTTCAAACTGTCGATAAGCCGCATAAGCTTGGAATTGGCCAATAAATCCGATCGATATTTCAATTGCAAATAGCGTTGAAGCAAATGAATGTAAATATTCTGTTGGTGTCTGTAATTAATATTATTTAATCAGATTTATTGTATTATTATGAAATAATTTGTATGACATACCTAACCACTTCCCATTGTAGTAGATTGGGTCGCCGCGGATCAAACAATAAGATTGCTGTCAACTGTTAATATAATATAATAAATACTGTAGATACTGTATATGAAACATGAGGTTAACACATTGAACACTTACAAAGTCGATAATAATTGAGTCGGAGTCCCAATCAAGACCGATATTTTTGAGAAACTGCGTGTGGTTTAAATAAGCTGGCGATTGAACTGGCTTAAGTACTTTGAGTCCGATCCGGTTCAATCTATTATTCTGTATGTTTAACAAAATTTACAATTATTATCTACAAATTATATAACAGAATAGCATTAATATAACAAATAAAACATACAAAGTAAATGTCCCAGTACTCCTCCTCGAAGTTAAAGCTCAAAATCATCCGTAAATTAATGATCTCAAGCGCCGAATACTTAATTAGTATCAATCGATCGCTTTCTAAGAGATCTCTGAAGCCATTCAAATGTTTGGACATTTTGATGATGTCTCGGATGCGGTACTCATGCTCTCGATGTAGTACATCGATGGCGTCCTCCCTTGTGCCAATCACCACAATCTGGTGATCACTTCGTTGAAAATTAATCTGCAAAGTCTTGATTCCGTCCATCAGTTCACTCAATCTCATGCCCTCCATCTCATTGAAAGTATTGCTGTAATCATGGGTTGGCGTACAAATGGGTTGAACACTGGGCACCGACTCATTTGATTTGTATAATTCAATTGCAGTACTATTTCCTACAATATCCGGTTCAGGCATCAACTTATTGTCAGCCATGTCTTTATCAAACTCAATGTTTTCAAGAAAGTCAAACAAATTGTTTGTGTCCGTCGTATCGGATTCCGGTGGTGAAAGTGTGGTCGAGTCGGCGATAACATGGCTTCCCTCGGGTTTGGGTTTGCGTTTCTGTCTACCATTCCGGGTGTCAATGGATTTCTTGTTTTTATTCGAGTAAATCAATTCCTGCCAAAAGTATTGTGAATTAATATATCATTTTCAAATTCATAGCAAATGCCATACAGTGTTCATTCCGGCCGCGAAACACTTATTCAAACGACACTTTTTGCAGTGCTTTCTGTTTTTCACTTCAATATTACAGGTGCCGCCTAAATAGCACCGAAAGTGATCCTGAAATTAATTATTATACTTTATTTATAAAAAATAATTTATATTCTTGGTTATTTATAATTTGTATAAAATAATATAAACCGGGTTTAAAGCGCTTCTCCGGAAAAACGATTTACACGACTCACAAGTTATTGCATCGAAATGGTAGCCTAAGAATCGCCATTAATATGATTTAGTATTATCATAATTAGTGACATTTTAACCTTTATAATCTTACCTGTTGACACATCTCCACAGATCTGACATGTCTTGGTGCTGGGTTTACATGCCATTCCACTTAATTTAGTAAATTAATTAAATATAGTTTTAAAAATAACAATTAGCAAATGTCAGCTCAACATTATAAGACTATGTATTTCATCTATCTACTCTCACTGTTTGTTGCTCAATGTACTATATATTTAAGGACACTTCATCTATCATAACTATGGTATCCTAGAGATTATCTATATTTAATTCATATTGCTTCAATTTAATGAAATTAATTTCTTCAAAACTTATGATAGATATGAAAAGTCATAATTAATAAGAAATTACCTTTTAATAATTAGCCAAAATTTAATAATACTTGTAATACTGCACTAATAATACATAATGAATAGAATTAAGTAATAATTTTATTCTTTATTTAATATTTAAAATATTTCACATGATATTTTTATATTGTGACAAATGTGGACTTTAAAACGTATAGAATATTTGAACAGTGGTATCATAAAAAGGATCAATTATTTGTGCTAGTTCAGTACATTACAGTACAGTATTAGTACAGTACAGTTGTGCATGACTTATTAATACTAACATGTTTTTAGATAATAATATGTAACTTTCTTTTCAATATACTTTTATCACAAAAATTTGGTGTATTATCTAATTATAATATATTTTTTAAACATTTATAACATAATATCATAACATTGTAAAGTAGTATTTTGTGAATGCTAGTCAATTTTAAGTTTTATAACTCTTACTGTTATTAGTAAATATTATTATTATGTACTGTACTATTATAACTTATACATATTTATTTATTAATCTGTATTACAGTATGATAATATCATTACTTGCAGTAATATTATTACTTTCATACATGAAAAATGATATAACACTAAACAAGTATTAATGTAAATATTAGAAACAAACAATATTTTTGTTAATTTCTCATTCATTTCTATCGCATATTTCTTTGAACAATGGGATGGCATCTAAATTGTGTCTTTTACAAACATGGTTTGCCATTTTACTGCTGAGCATATTTAAACAAACCAGACTATTTATTAGCCGCGACAGTTTTGCTTTGGCTAAGATTTCTGATCGATATTTCATTTGCAAATAGCGTTGAAGTAACTGAATGTAAATATTCTGCTGATCTCTGCAACGATATTACAATAATATGATGTAATTATACAAAATTATATATAAATACATTGTTACTTAAATATTTCAATAAACTCCACTCACCTAATAATATCACAATTTGTTAATTTTGGACGACTTGGATTAAACAAAATAATGGCCGTAAGCTAGTAATCAAATAGCAAGGTGTTACAAATTATAAATGTCAATTTAAAGGTAGTAAATACCAAATCAATGACATATGAATCAAAGTCCCAGTCAAGTCCCATATTCTGTAGAAAAAGTATGAGATAGTCAAAAGTGGCATACCCCTCCAGGGCATTATGATTCCGCTTAAATAAGTCCAGGCTAATTCTATGCGATCTATTATTCTGGGTGATTTTAGCACAATTAGTATGCATAAACATTAATATTATACAGTGTGTTTCACCATGGACCTCCGCCTTTTAATTGCAATATCTCAAAAACTAAATTAGCTAGCAAGGTACTCTCGACGGTTTTTAAAACTAGAAGTATAACAAATTTTTCGACATACTGATCACCCAGGTGCGACTTATATTAATGTTATTACTATGGACATTCTTGCAGACAAGAGTTACAGTATGAACGAAATGAGCAAGATAAAAACAATCTATAGCAATTTTATAGAGGAATGTATGAACTTTCATATGGCATCGAGATCTCTCAGCTTCCATATATGGTTCAGTCACAAATAACTTTTGAAAATCAAGAATCTCTATGAAAATCTCAATGGGAAATTTTCAATCAACAATTAATAACAATAAAATAGTAGCTAGGTAAAAGTGTTCTATAGCTCAAAGATAGATAATTTAATTATCTTTAAAATGGTGTATCACTCGTTAAGGTCGCAATTATTTTTCTTGATTTATTATTAATATAATTAAATTTATATAAATGTCGAGTTATGCCATTGAATCCAATTATGTAACTGTGATTAATATTAATTTAATAAATTAAACAATAATTCAAGAAGTATAATTCCGACCTTAACGAGTGATACACCATTTGAAAGATAATTAAATTCTCTATCTTTGAGCTATGGAACACTTTTACCTAGCTACTATTTTATTGTTATTAATTATTGATTGAAAATTT